AAGCAGCACATGTTGGGATGAGGTAATTACTCTAAATCACTCAGATTCACTTACATATATTAGGTTGGTTGGGCAGGGGGGAGGGCACATCCCTACCCGCGTGCTGAGTACAAACCATGGTGATGTTGGTTCTGCTGGGTACGTGAGCCATAGCTCGGAGTGTTTGTTTGTTTCCTGCTTTGCTAAGACAATACAGCTCTTTGCTGGCTCCTTTTTAAGGTTAATATGTTCGTAACACCTATTCAGCCTGTACAAAAGCCACTGAATAGAATTCTGCTGTTTTTCTGCTGGTGGTAGGTCAGTGGCTGAGTCAGTGATAGAAACAAAATATCTTCAGTATGTTCCCAGAACAGTATCCCACTTCTTTAACGCAACCTTCCCGCCCCAGGATGGTTTGCTCTCAGCATTTAACCTCCTTTCTCTTGCAGAGTAGCAATGGAAAGCAGCATTGAGCCTTAAAAACAGAAGTCAGACGTGTCCTTGTAGGGAGACTGTCTGCCTTGGAGCTCCCCACGGGGAGGCAATCGGCCCCTGCTGTTGGCAAGGAGCTCTCACTCGCTCGGCAGCATTAATCAGGGCTGACTGTTCCTCTTAATCCTCTGATCCCTTCCATACGGACGAGAACACAAGCGTCGCATTTGCGTGTTACGCTCTTCTTCGCTGAAAATAGGGCCGGCTCCCGGGCTTGCAGCAGGCAGCGATTAGATGGGTGGGTGATCAAAACATGATTAGCAAATCTGCAATTAGAATGAAGGCCAGGAGGGCAGTGGCTTACTGCAAGGAAGGGTCACAACTGGTGTCTTTCAGAATAGAAATAAATACGTGAAATGACAAAGGATTTAGCTGCGCTCTTGTCTCATGACTAACTGAAATAGCCAAGGCACTGCTAGGAAGAAGCTAGGACTTTTTAAAGTATCAGAGATAGTTTATGTAGCTAAAACAGCCTTAGAAATTGGGATGTCTGCATCAATTCTAAATTTTGTCCCAGATACTTTTTTGTGACTGGTATACAGGAACTTCATAACTTTCTTTAGTAGCTAGGCAGTGAAGGTACTGACCGTGCCTTGCAGAGGTTTGTGAAGCTTCTAATACATCAGTGTGTGAAATGCATCGAGACTCTGGAAAATGTCTACCAAAGCTGCAGACTCTTACTGCCAGCTGTGATGAATTTGAGCAGGCCAGGAGTGGAGAGGCGTTTCTGTCAGATACTACATGTAGAAGAAGAACAACAGTTTGCTTGAAGCCAATTGCAAGACAAACAATGGCATGTTTTTAGCTTACTTTTGTTGTCTTTAAAAAACCTGTGATGTGGAAAATACGGCAACTACAACCCTGTCTCAGAAGAACCGTTTAGTAAAATCGATCCCATTTTTCCACGTCTAAATAATAGCATTCACATCAGCTTCAGAGACAGCAAGATTTGGCCCATTTACAGTACCGTGCAGTTCACTGTTTTCTCAGGAGTAGGAGGCACATAATGAAACAAAATCTAATATTGCATGACGAAAATTCAAATTACACCTTCAAGATCCAGGGAGATCTAGGAAATTTATAATCCGTGGTCAAGATCCTGGCAATCAATTCACTGGTATGAACTCATTTAACCGGGGTCTGTGCAAACAGAGGGACTTGTTCTTAGGACTCTGGCTGCAGCATCGGCACTTACTACACAGTCCCAGTGCGCATCCATTCAGCACACCGCGCGATTAAGGGGAAGAGGTGGGTAGTTTGACTGGGGAGTCTTATGCACACTTGTGAAGGACATTGTGGACAGCCGTTTTTCAAGTCCAATCACCACCAATCTTCAGTAGTTAAAGCATACACAAGCTGGGTGATCTATGAATTAACCTTAGTAGTCTGATATTTCTACGTTACAGAAGGATAAACAACAAGAGTTAAGCTTATGAGAATTCAAAACTGTTTCCAGTGGGTTGGGAATTTGAACCTAGGCCCTTACTCCATTAAATCAGTCCCTCTGCCTGAAACTCTGACCCAGCAAGCCAGCCTCGGATAGACATAACACGATTCTTTATACAGGCCTATGGCATGACATGCATTGCACAGCAGTATCTTAGTATAAATCTGGTAAATAGAATTGCATGGGCAATAAAAAGCTTTTACTCTAAATGCTTTCTGTATAGACAGATAGTGAACATAGTGACCTTTATTTATTTTTTTAAGACAATTATTAAAAGATATAGGCAGGCAAATGTTTAAAAATGACCTGGTTTTAAAAAGCTGAGCTCTGGAAGAAATCCGGGCAATGTTGGGTGAAGAAGAAAAATGAGTTCTGACCCTCTGTCTTTTGAGCCATCTGGTTTTTGAGTCCCTCAGTTGCTGCAGGATGGTTTTATTTCATTTACCTATGAACAGCCTACAATTACAGGCTCCTTTCCAAGGTCTTCCATAAACTAGTTTCTATGCTGACCTTTCTTCCAGTGTCCCTGTAGCGGTGTTGTGCCTGCTTGTCTTTGTTATTATTAGATTTGGTCTGCTAATAGCATTCAAAGGAAACGAGGAGATGCAAGGTTTCTTCTCTCATGTGAATACGGTAGCATAGCATATAACTTCAGCTTCCTAGACTGGTTACAAGGACTGGAAAGGAGTAGTGCTGAAGAAAGAATCAAATATTGAATAATTTCTTTTTCTGGCGTTCCACTGTTCCCAGTTCTCCATCCCCTACATATATTCTAAAGCTACTTCAAGCACAAGTCTGGAGACTAAACATTTGATGCAGATGAGCGATTGCTCTAAGAAGTGTTGCACGTTTTCATGGAAAAAAAAAAATCTGCATTTATGTAGAAAAGACGAGCAGTTTTGCAGTCTGTATCTTTGTAATTTCCTTAATACAGTATAGTAATGAGGCCATGAATACCAAAAAAAAAGTTAAATATGATAGCTTTCCTCTAGGCTGTAGTGTTAAGAGTTTACAATCTTTACTCAAAATGCATTCTCAAGAAAATACAGATAAATCTGGACATTGACTGAAAGTCAATGAACAGTCAGGTAGGGATCATGATAACGTGTTTGTGCTCTAGTGTAATCTTGGTTCTGAATATTTCTTACTGCATAGTGGAATTAAAATAGTATCAGGTTTTGTGCTTCTCAACTGGGACTGGTTGTTTATGACATATATGGTCATGTAATAGCAGGGAATTTATAAATGCTGCCTTCTTAATGACAATAATAATACTCTGAATTTCTAGAGAGGCTTTCATTCTAGGATCTTAAAGTACTTTACAAACAGTTAATGAAGTCTTACTATTTCCTTGTGGAATAGGCAAGTTGCATTAAACTGAGAGGATAAATGAGGCACAGAGAGATTAAGGGACTTGTCTGTGGGCAGAATGTCAGTGGTGTCATCAGGAAGAGAATGTAGCAGCCCTGTCCTGTCTCAAAATCTTACCTTTGCAAATGCTTAGGACAAGAGCTCTGTGCTCTCTGAATAGGTCAGCCCAATTGAGTTCTAAGATCATTTTTGGTGGGTTATTGTAGGTTTTGGACTCTATAGGAAATAATTTAAAAAAAAAAAAAAGTCTTCAGAGAGCGCTTAAATAATTTTGGTCTACTAGTCAACCATTCAAAATAAAAAATATTCCAGATGGTGTTTTCAGGAAAGGCAGAGCAAGCTTTTGCAGCACTAATTTTTGCCTGCTGAGGTTTTATTTTTCTTCTTCCCCAAGGGCCTTGAAAGCAGTGCAGTACAACTTGGGGAGGGGGGGGGAATCCCCAGTAATGGAGGCAGGCACAGTTGAAGGCAATTTGCCATCATAAACAAGCCTCAGGTTTCCTTACTGGTAAAACTTGTACCAGACAGCAGTAAATAATGAATGTCCGCTGCCGTCTCTGGGAAGGAGCGAGTGACATTGATTTTGTCAGGTGCCACCCCTCTTTCCTGCACACACAGCTGTATTGTAGCCAGACCCACTGGAGATCTGGGCACAAGGGATTTGGGGGACAGAATGCTGAACAACCTTCTACTAAGTTTCTGCCCTGTTGCAGAAAGTCATAATGTTTTGCTCCTTCTTTTCCTCCTTTCCCAAACAACCACTTACAGAAGGAAACCATTGGATATCCTTCTTTCCACAGTGCGGCTTTTTTAGCTATAGCAGCATGAGAGACCTTGTGGAGATTCAGATATGCTTGTAGAGAAGATTATAGAGAAACAGTAACTTGTTTTCAGAGGAAAAATAATTTGTACTGGAGGGAAAAAAAACCCCACAACCAAATTTTTGAGGTGTCTGCAGAGTACATCTATACCTATTTAATTTAGTCAAATCTACCCACCTTACTGCCTGGTAGTAGTAAGAGTGTTTTTTGTGTTTTGTTCTGTCCCTTAATATTTCTTCGGGATATCTGGTAAGCGTTAATTTGCGGATGATCTGTGCAATTGTAAACCATCTTAGAATCATAGAATGTTTTGGGTTGGAAGGGACCCCTAGAGGTCATCTAGTCCAACCCCCCTGCAGGGAGCAGGGACACTGCTAACTAGATCAGGTTGCTCAGAGCCCCGTCCAACCTGGCCTTGAATGTTTCCAGGGATGGGGCCTCCACCACCTCGCTGGGCAACCTGTTCCAGTGTTTCACCACCTTCATTGTAAAGAATTTCTTACTTATATCCAGTCTAAACCTACCCTGGTTTAGTTTAAAACCATTACCCCTTGTCTTGTCACAGCTGGCCCTACTAAAAAGATTTTCCCCACCTTTCCTATAGGCCCCCTTTAGGTATTGAAAGGCCGCAATCAGGTCTCCCCACAGCCTTCTCTTCTCCAGGCTGAACAAGCCCAACTCTCTCAGCCTGTCCTCACAGGAGAGGTGCTCCAGCCCTTGGATCATTTTTGTGGCCCTCCTCTGGACCCGCTCCAACAGGTCCATGTCCTTCTTGTGCTGAGGGCTCCAGAGCTGGATGCAGGGCTCTAGGTGAGGTCTCACCAGAGGTGGTTGACCCCTTGTAACTTTTTTTGCTACATGTCATTGAGTTTCATGGATGTCAGTGGGAGATGAAAGCCCTTGGTAGCAGCGAGCCTTTGAACAGCAGCGGTGACACTGCTGAAGAGCTGGGTGTGGCGGTACTGGTACAGCCCTTACGGCACTCCTGCTTCAGCCAGTGATTATAATGCTGGAGGAACACTGGAGGCTTGTAATTTGGTTTCCTTTTAGAAGTCTCTGAGATAGACTGCAGACCAACAGGAGAGCATCTGCTTTTCTTTTTGCTAAAGAACACTGCTGGAACTTCTCTGTGTAAGCTCACTTAAAAACCCATTGCTTGATTTTATTAATATGTAATAATTTGGCTCCTTTTTACCTACAGAAAATTACTTATCTGAATAAAATGCAAGAATATTGTCTAACGAAAGGGGAAAATAAAGAGTATAATTGTGTTAATTATCAGAATACCAGACATGTAATTAATATGCCACAGGAACAAAGAGCAAATGTACTAATAGCACATAATTGGACTTAAACTACACCCTTGGTAGAAGTCTCTGCAATGGAACTGTTGTGTTTGTGCTCCTTTTCAAATTAGCAATAAGGAATAAATTAACATCCATTTTCTTGCCCATACAAAGATGGAATCATATTGTGGGGCAGGGTAATGAATTCAGAGAATGCCTTTACATTCCCATATGGCTCTTAGGGAGGGGAATACTCATGCACATGGCTCTTCTCCCTTGCGGGAAGGCAGGCAGAGAGAGGAGGAAAACCTCATTGTATGACCAGATGTTTGCTGAATACCATGATCCTAAAGAATACAAAAAAAAATCTGTAAGCTGAGTAATTTAAACATTGTCACCAGTACCTGGTGCAAATATTTGTGTTGGTTTATCCATCTATGCTTTCATACATGGTATGTTACTGTGTTATGTTGTCAGATAAGGAAGTAGGTAGGGTAGGGGCTAGTCACGGACCTAAAGGGACATCTGTGATTAGAACTGGAAAGAAAACCTGTAATTCTTCGCTCTTTTTTTTTTCCCCCCTCTCCTTCTTCCACCCTCCCCTCCCCACAGCATAAATCACTAGTTCAGTTTTCTGTATAAATTAGGGAGTTAAAGCAGTTGTTAATGTGGGCATAGCCCACTATGCTGCTCTTTAGAACATGTTAGTACAGCACATGAAAAAACCACGTAGAACCACCAGAGTCCTTGTTTTTGGTGGACGTGCATTGCAGAAAGGCTCATCCAGAGCACCTGACTGTAATTCTTATGTTATTGAGTTAGAGGATGATTACTAAAATAACTTATTACTGATGCTGTTTCACTTTCTGTACTCTCTCCCTCTTTGCCTTTAGTGGTGTCTTACTAAGGTTTACAAATAATTTATTTAATGCTGTTCAGAGGCCACAGTGGTTTTAGAGACTTAGGAGACCTCAGTATTCCTTCAAGTAAGGAAATAAATTTTTAAGAAACAGGTCCAGTTCCATTCAGACTCCACTTCTATTTATATAACACAGCTTAAAATAGCCATTGTGGTATTAGATGCAAAGACTTACATTAATAAAGCCTAAATTTTATTGAGGTCCTTAAGTCAAGTATTGCTTTTTAGCTAAGTGCTTGAAAACTGGTCTGTTCAAGGCATTTCAATGTATTACAGTATTTCTTAATTCAAGGTATTTCAAGGTATTGCAGTACTTCTGTATTTTACCTACCCTCTTTGTGCCCTGCTTTCCTTAATATGCAAATGAAAAGCCTAGAAATTCTATCTTATTCAATTGTAATGCACCTGTCATCACAATATCTAGACACCTGCCTTTCTACTTCACAGAAGTATTGTGAGAGTGCATTAATTAACGCTTGTAAAATGCTTGGAGATCCTAGGATGGAAGGTGCTAATGAGTTGTAAGATATTATAAAGATGTTGCAGAATATTCGATCTCTTTGTAAGGAAAGACCTGCATCTTTCCTTCATTGCTTTTATGTTTCTAGATGATATTTTGCAATAGGTTAAGTCTAAACAGGACAAAAAGGGTTAAACAAGGTAGAAAGATTGCTAAAGCTGCTAGTTTTCTTGTGTGGAAGCTAGTTGTTTTTATGTATTTCTTTGCTTATTGAATTTTCTTTTTGTATCTCTGATGAACCCATACTTCAATGGCTTGTTGAGAATTCTCTGAACATTCAGAAATGTCAGGGGAGAAGATTTTCTTCTTCAGATTGCCAGGCCTTCATTTGCATCCCCTAAATCAATTCTCACATATGATCAAAGCACTTCTGGAAATTTTCAAGTGTGGGGAAAACTGGTCCTCTAATTCTTTCTCCTCTAATATATACAGTCAGGTTCCAAAGCATTAACAAAAAACAAAAAAAACAAAAACAAACAAAAAAAAACAAACCCCAACCCCCCCCCCCCCCAAAAAAAAAAAAAAACCCAACAAAAAAACACAAACCAAAAAACCCAACAAAAAAACCCAAAACCAAAAAACCAACCAACCACCCTCATCCACGGAATCTGAACACACATTAATTGTATCCCTCTTTATGTTCAGAGGATTGCAACTATGTATATTAAGGACATAAAGGCTGGAAAAGATGTAGCAGCTCATCTATGTACGTTTTCTCTTCAAGCTTTCCTCTGGCATTTTGTTGTGGAGTTTTCTTTTGAATGACCCAAAAGATGCCACTTCTGCCTGTTGCCTTACAAGAGTACGCTGTGATCTCTTAGATTTCATTGTGAAGAATTAATTTTTTTATATTCACCTTGAATTATCTTTTTCCTAGTGTTGTTATTGTTCATTCTTCCCACTTGGCTTAGGCTGATAAAGCAGTGTCAGAACCAAAAAATACTAAAATTCAAATTCCCAAAATACCTTGGGATTCTCCTATTGCTTTCTCTAGTGGGAAATGGAAGAGCTAGAGTGGAGCTGTAATACAGCTTCTCAGAAAGTGGTCTGTTGTTGCCTTCATCTAATATTTTGCTTGGCTGTGCATGCATCTCTCTTCATGAGCTTAATTACTGCATAGTCTCTATGGCAATTGGTCCCCTTTCAGAAGTGGTTGCAGGGCAGCTGTGATAAACCTGCCAGTAGAGGTTTATGCTCAGTAGAGGAGACAAAGCTAGGTTCTGAGCTCTAACTTCCCATTAAAAGCAATCATAACCGGAAACAAACTGGTATGCAGACACTAATTGTACTGAGATGAAAATAAGCCCACACCCAGTTCTGGCCTCTTTATTTAAAGACTGGACCATTTTCCCAACCTAGTTCTAGACTATTTGAAGTTTGGACCCTTTCCCCATATCTCCCCTTTTGAACAAGGGTCCAGGTCTATTATCCAAAAGTAATGGTGCATATTCCATGTGTATTCAAAATCATTTATGATCCTGAGCTCTAACAATCAGATCCAGATCTGCTGTTGACTTAACTGAGCATGACTTGCTTCTCTCTGTATTTATGGTATGCACCAGCTTCCTTTAAGTAGCGAGCGAAGGCATTCATTTTTACCTATCACCTTATCTTTCCATTTCTGGCTGCTCAGCTCCATTCTGACAAGTGCAATAAATGTGTCCTCCTGGGTCCTTGCAAGCTGGGCATTAGTCACACTGTGCATTTCAAGGACATCAGTCTGATAGTTTTTCAGCTGAAACGGAAAACATGTTCTGCCAGGAGCCATTTGTTCCAGTTTTGTTGCTTACTAATAAAATAAAAATCAATGGGTTTTTGGAGCTTGAGAAGCAGGTCAGAGAGTAGGAGGGAGATAGGTGGTAAAAATGAAGGTGCTGAAGTTAGTTCTCTGAGTTTCTCTGAAATAATGGCATGTGGCATTTCAGATAAAGTGAGAATCTCTGTCAACTTGAGGAAATGCAGTTACCTCTGACAAACAGTATAGCTGTTGTTTAACAGCAAATAGGACTGGCACATAGCAGGTCTCACACTGGGCAGTTTAAATCAAAATTAATGTTGTGAAACAAAAGGTATTTGGGAGGATGTTGTATTTGCCGTACTTTTAGTTGCATTTGCCCACAGAATGTCAGTGGTGATGTGGATCAGAATTTAATTTTCCTGTCTCCACCACAGGTAGAGTACCCATACTATTGGTATCCTCAACCACTAAACTGCCAGTTCAAACCATTTAGTCATCTAACTAAACAAAATCATCAAACTGATCTTAAAATACAGTGTAAAGAATTATTTGCTTTACTGAATCAGTGCCTTAGTCACAACTGACTCAGAGGAGTTTTGCTTAGAGAGTGAAATGCAATCAATGCCTTCTCCTTCCCTGGAAATTTCCCAGTTTCATCATGACTGATTCAGCCGATTAATTAATCTGAGCCGGTAGTGTCATTGTGCAATAGATAAAGTTTACCTGGACATAGCATTTCTTCTCTTAAAAATGTCTCTCCTTCCTAATTCCACAGAATCAGAATGATTTAAATGAGTCCTGATGGTGACACTGAAGTCCCCCCTTCTTACCGTGGTCGATGGTAGCGTGCTCCGCTGTAACGCAAGATACAGCCAAAGTGACTGTAGAGCAAATGTTGCTCTTTAGGTGTGGCAGAAGTGACAGTTTAAAGAACCTAGTTTTTTCTCTAGTTTAAAGGTAATAATTTATTTTGCAGAAAATGTTTTAGAGTATGTGTATATATTTGCATGCCAGCTGGCTGCTGGCCTACAAGCCCTCTTCAGATACTTTTATATTGACATTTGAGCTCTGTACATAGCTATGTCCCTAATGAAAATCCAGTATTTGAGCAAATAATTTGTGTTACATCATGTATTCATCAATGGGCAATCATCTTTTAACTGATACCTTGCCTTGCAAAAAAATGGGGTGGTTCGTACTCATACATTAAGGTAGTAAGACTAGTTTGAGAGTCATACTGAGCTGGACAGTCCTTCTACTCTCCGTACAAAAGAAAAATACATAAAGTAGCATGCTGTCAGCTGAAGCTGCGTTGGCAGAATGTAAAGACTCAGCTATCTGGCAACAGATGGGCTACAGGCTTCTTCTGACATGATCTGCCATCCAGCATATGTTAGACAGGCTGAGAAATCAAGGGGTTTTAGACTGAGGCTTTAGCTTTATTTAAAAAAAGAAAGATGTCTTAGCTCTTGATAGAGCAGGTGGCCTACAGCACACAGTCAATGAAATAGATGAGGACTAACTTGGTTGCTTGGTTAAGTGATACCTCCATAGCATGGGATAGTAATTGGGGTATTGTTCACTGTACTGGACTGCAGTGTATTTCTCTTCAAATTCCTCTTTCCGCTCTGCACACACTTGCCTTAGCAAATGTGCTTAAGATATAGCAAGTAAAGATGGTTGGTTTTGAGGACGGAAGAAGCCGCTGGGTGGGCAGAACAGCTTGACTTTGGATATTCAAATGCACAGGCTTGCTGCAGACCAGATTCTGCCCACTTGCTGAGACTTAGTGACTGCTCAAGGGCAGTGAGTAAATTGGTTTCTCACCTTAGGTTGGCTGGTCCCCCTGTCTCGAGTTCGGGGTAAACAGGTAGTCAGCAGTAACAGTATTGGGCTTGCCTTGGGAGGGAGGGGGAGGCTCTTCCAGAACATATCAGTCTTGGTATTTAAATTGCATAGTGTTTTAAAATAAAGAAATACCACATCTCTAGGATCTTGAACATTCTGGACTTTATTTTTATTTCACTGTGGGAGTGAAATGGCTAATAGGTACAAAGCATGAGTAGTCATATCTAATTATAAAATAAGTTGGTTGCATTTTAGTTGTCAAAACTGATCATGGTAAGGTATTTCTTCTTCTGTTGAAGCATTTTCTAATTTAAATTTTTGACCAAAGACCAAATAACTTTTCTGCTACAGGACTGGTTCCATGCAACTTAATTATTCCTATAAAACTTCTTGATTTAGAAGGTACTTGTGAATTTTTCCAAACAGAACTAACAGACTTCTGCCTTGATAAAAGTAAGACTACACTAAAAAAGCCTTCTGTCTCACTATGCAGAGTATTTGTCTAAACTGTGAGTGCTGCTGTTCCTCCATTTGGGCAGGGTTAATGCTCCGTCACGGGACAGTCATTCTCTGCAGCGTGTACACCGGGGGGACGAGCACCAAGGAAACCCCCTAGGTCTGCAAGTGTTAACTTGGCGAGGCATGACGGCGCTCTAAGGTGCGTTTTTGTTGAAAGCAGACACATTTCTGCACGATTGCAGTTTTAGAGCTATGAAAACATAGCAAAAAAAAGCATGTATCTGTTTCATGGTGCTTGTTGCAGGCAGGTGTTGGCAGTTTGTGCCTTCCCGGCGTGGTTCAGAGCCCAGCAGCTGACCAGTGTTTGTGCATCCTGCTCCCAGGGCCGTACTGGGCCGGGCTTGCTGCTGGTGGCCTTGCTGTCTTTGGCATCACTGTGGGGTTAGGTAAAAACCAGCTTTTTTGCCTTTCTGCTGACACTGTCTATGAAGGGTAAGGTGAAAGCATTTAAATATCTTTATAGGGGTTTTAACTCCCAAATGTTGGGGGTTTAATCAGCATTTGTTTCAATCAGCTGTGTGAGGCTTCCGTAAGGGCATCGGCTGAGCCCTGATTACCAGCTGACCGCAGCTGCAGCCACGCAGACAGGTTCAGCTCGTGCAAAGAAAACAAAAACAACCCAAAAAAACCTCAAAACCAAACCCTAAGAAAACCCCTTCCCCCCGGCACAACCTATC